TCTCCCCCTGCCCATGCTCGAGGGTTTGGGATAGGACTTTTGGAAGCCCAAAACCGGGCTTGAACAAGCGGCAGGGCAAGTTTCAAAAAAGGAGGGTCCTGAGCCCCAGGTCCAAACAGTGCTTTGTCCTTTGTGGCTTCTGCAGCCAAACGTGTGCGCATCAGGGCCAGCCTCCCAGAACTCCCGCTGGGTCTCAGCCGTCTGCCTGGTCATATCGCAGCATGGACAGAGCTACTGAAGGGCCTGTGCGATTTTCCACTGCCATCAAAGAGATTGCACACAAAAGATGCAGGACGCGTGCTAGCTCCTCAGCTACTCTTCCGAACGCCAGCTAATCTGATCAGATAAAATGATGCTGGTAGTTGACACTGCATGTGCTCATGTACAAGAGTGCTATGCTTGAATGCGCCATAAGCGACTATACCGTATATAGCATGATCTATCCTGTACCAGGGACATCACATTAAAGAAAGATTCTTAAGGAGCGCAAGTTGCCGGACACCTCGGTTTGAGCGCCTGGGATCTGGGCTTTGACGCTTTTGGGCTTTTGCTGCGGAAGCTTTTGGGGTTTTGCTGCGGAGAGAAGGGGAGGGAGGGAGAGGGGAAGCATGAGGAGGGGGCAGGGGAGGGCAGGGGAGGGCAGGGGAAGGGAGGAAACAATACTGTATGCTGCGCAAGCGCAGCTCCATCATCTTCTGCTTCTCCATCTTCTGAAGCATCTGCAACCTCATACTGCGTGCGCACCCCCGCTGCATTACGAAAAGCCTAGAGCTTCAACTTACCCAAACGTTTTCTCCTATCAGTTCAGTCCTACAACGGGTGCAACATGAAAAAACTTGATAAACATCAAAGAACAAACAGGCCACATAAAGAGAGTCATAGACATCAAGAAAACTTGAATAAGCAGTCAAAAGCTACGACATGCAGCATTTCTAGCTGTTTTGCGGGCTCCAACCAGCTGAGAGATGCAGCATTTCTGGCTGCGTTCGTCTGCTTGTTCCCGATTTCCGGGCTCGATTCCACGGCTCCACATGCTGTAATTCCAGCATTTCATTTGGACACTGCCCACTTCTCGCATGATGGGTTTGGAAAGGCTTGTTGCACCAAACACCAAGACAAGCGAGGTACTACACCACGACGACGACGACGACGACGACGAATCTGAGATTCAGTAGTAGCACGATGAATAGCACGACGAATTTTCCAACGAAAACCATTTCAAAGCCAAACAGCAAATCCCGGACGACCAAGGGACCAGAGCACCACACCAGAGGACACCAGAGGATCACGGGACCAGAAGCTGCCAGAAGCACCCAGCAGAACAGCGGGACCAGGGGTCCGGAAGAACCCAAAAGACCAGAGGAACAGAAGATCGACCGGAGAAATCTAGCAGCCATCCTAGCATTTATTGTTTTTGATGCTTATCTCGCTTGCTTTTCTTGATGCTTTCCAGTTTTTCAAACCAACTCGAAAAACACAGTTGTCAAGTATCCACTTTGTCACCACTCTCCTGGTGTTCGCGAGCCAGGCATCATACATTAAAACTCCTAGTCATAAGGTCACCCAGAGAAAACAAGCATGATCTTTGCGAGGTTCTGCACAAGCGCCCTTGAGCTTGAGCAAGCCCTTTTTCTAACGGTGTCTGAAACAATGAAAGCAGCCTCTCCGCCTGTTCCCGGTGCTTGGCGTCGAGTTGTCTCACCTGCCTTGGCATGCACATTTCGTTGCATGGGAGTTGTAGCAAAGAAAGCCGCACCGACTACATCCAACACGTGAAGCGAGAATCGAAGCAGCACCAGAAAGGCTCAACCATCGGCTTTGCTTTTCCAGACTCAGAAGGCACCGTCTGAATTTAGGACGCTGTCGTCGTAAACTTTAGCGGCAAGTTCTTCTTGAGGAGCCAAAAACTCATCAGAACATGCATACGGGCAAATAGAAGAATAGTTGCACGAATGAGTTCCTGAGCCCACCCCGTTCCAAATCCCAATCCCCCACTCGACAAGTCGACGTGTTCTGCTTCAACACTCGAACCAAATGCCCAGTAAGACTTCCCCCTGCTCATAGAGTGTGGAAGTCTTCGCAGCTCTTGCCAGGCCACTCCTCCATCGACGGGACCGCCGCCGCCTGATGATTGAGGGCTCAAAAACTCAGATCTCCCTTCCTGCAGGATCCCTATGTAGCACGTGCAACACCCCGCAACCCTGTCGGGCACTTTCCTGTGTGTCCAGTTCGCCCTTTGTAGCGCCTAGGATTATGAGTTTTTCTTGAGCCAAACATTAAGTTTCGGCAAAACAAAAAATTGTCGCTAAACATCTTCCTAAAATCATCCTTCGGGCTCTTCCTCAAATCATCCTCCCTCCACATTCCGGCTCCCCAATCTTTTCCTAAGACTCATCCTCCAAATTATCCTCCACCTCATCCTAAATTATCCTATGTGAAAATTCCGGCTTCCCAATCTTCCTAAAATCATCCCAAAAATGTCCTCTACCTCATCCTAAAATCATCTTATGTCAAAATTCCGCCTTCCCAATCTCCAAAATCATCCTCCTAATTATCCTCCGCATCATCTTCCTAATCTTCCTAAACATATCCTAAAAATTATCCTCTATCTCCTCCTACTGTAGCATAGGATTATTTTAGGATGATGAAGCGGACATACGAAGCAAGGCGGAAATATTTGAGGAAAAGGGAAAGGATGATTTCAGGATGATGACGCGGACACAAAAAGCCGGCAGGACACGCCCGAAGATGATTCGAGGCAAGGAAAAAAGCAAAGGATGATTAGGATGATGGCAAAGAGGAGAAAAGTAGGGACGATAATGCCAGAGGATATTTCGAGGAAACAAGGAGGATGATTTTAGGATGAAGCAGACAGGAAAATGACGGAGGATCACACCAGAGGATGATTTTACGAAGATGCTTAGCAAAAAAAGAAGATTTGGTGTCCCCAGAATTTGGCTGAATAAGACTCATAACCCTAGGACTCCCCCTGCACGCAAGCCTTGGTCTCCGTGTCCAGGCACATGATTGTGGCCTCTGCATCCCGTCACAGCCATGGACACCACACATTAACAGCAATCTGAAAACCACTGCCTGTACAGAAAAATCAAAAAGATTGTGCCCGAAGGGTCCCGAAGGGCTTCCCTCAACTAATCCCTAGGTTGTCAGAGGGCATCACGCGAGGTTGATACTGAAGGGGCTTAATGAGCTTGGATGCTAAGCTACGATTTTCTGCCAAGCAATTCACTCCCAATTTTTTGCAGTATCCTCAACATAAAGTCCCCGCCATCGGGGCCAACCACACCAGGTGGTTGGGTAGTTACACGGTCCCTTCGTATGGTATTCAGGGCCCACGAAACTACCCTTAGAAGCCCTGGATTGCGGGATGATAGTTCGAGTGCAGGGTACTCGGCACCAGGACGGGGGTCACATGGCATCTGCAAACCCACCCCTAAGCAAAAAAACAACCCCTGTAGCCGCCTTTGGAATTGGGTCAACGATCGCGTCGACAAGCTGACAAGCTCTGAGCAAAGAACGGCTGCACGACCAGCACACGTTGGGATTTCCCTACGCCCTGAAATCGAAGCATCTTGGCTTGGGGGCCTATGAATCAACAACACTGGCACCTTCTACACTGACCCCGTTCTGCCATGTTTGTCCCATGTTGGGTTCCGTGCACAAATCCAGACCTGCAAAGTCCGAACCCACGACACAACATGAACCTCAAAACATCCGTTGAACAAGCCCGAATACACCAACCATGCAGCCAAGCACTGCCGCCACTTCGGAGGGCGGCACAAGCAGACAAACCAAGCGCTGTCTCAAGCTCGTTCTCAATGCTCAAAATCATCGTCAAAAAGCCCACGCAGCGATCCAGCATAGAATTCACTAGAAGTACTTCCCAAACCCCGAAAGGCTGGCCAAGGACAGGACAACGTCGATGGCGAGATGGCGAATGGACGACGCCTTCCTGAGTACTTGCAACTAACATTTCAGAATCAACCAACAGAACCTCCTAAACTCCCAAATTCCCTAAACCCCCGAAAACAATAGAAGTTTCTGGATCTGGGCTGGTGACAATTTCCGGCTCTGGACCTGCACTTGACAAATCCCCGCGCAAGCATGCGCAAGAGCGTGCGCGAGTGCAACACGGGACATCAGGTGCATCAGGGCTTCTCCTAGGCTTGAGCCAAACAGCAGAGCACCACGAGAACAACTCCCTGAAGCCTTCTCACAGTGCAGTACCCTGCAAAAAAAATGTGAATGTTGGAGGGCTGCGTCAGGCTCGCCACAGCTTTTTTTGCCACTGCTGTGATGGTTGACGACCCCATACAATCTGCTCGTTTCCACAACACACAGAATCTGCGCTATGCAGCTTCCTGGGTCCTAGATCCGAATGCACCAAGAGCTGTGCACACTAAGGGTGCATCTGGTGCTGCCGCTTGAATTCCAGGTATTTTTGTTGGCGTGCAGGGCACATCACAAATCAAGCCTGGTATAAATTCCACTCGACAAAACAAGCCCTCCCTTGGAGGGACCTGCCGCCGAACATGTACATGCGCTCACGGGGCGTTATCCTGTGCAGAAGTCCCTGAGCCATGTATGGGCACTAATGTCAGCAGAGGCTGCAGACATTGTTTGTCATCATGGTGACTATGTATGCTACTTCCTTGTTGCTGATGCGTTAAAACCTGCAACCAGGCTCGGATGCGCAGGTGGCAACTCGGCCTTGACTGTCTCTGCCTCCAGCAGCCCTCTCCGTGGCTACCCACTATGCCAGAAGGCAATACAAATTGGAGTGTGTGTTACTGCAACTTGCCCGCAACTCGCAGCTGGCATCCCATGTGAGACCACACGAAACCTACGGCCTAGATGTGGTAGTTGAGCAACAGCAATGGCAAGTCAAAGCAGGGCAACAACCACAGCAAGATTAAATGTACTTGGTGAGTACTTCAGTGCGATAGCAGTTGTTGGACGGGCACGTTTCACTAGGATCGGACTCACGCTGCAAGAGTCTCCACATGCACGATCATCGAATGCCTGCCTCGATGTCAAGCATGTTTAACATGAAAGGAACATGCAAGCTTACCAGACAAGTCTGCCAACCCTCAACCCTCAGCGTGGACAAGCAGAAAAATTGTCTTGCCGACATCTTGACACTCCTTGTGACTTGGATTTGTTGACTGCCTCGACGCGGAAACCACACCTCGCAGACAGCATTGTTAACAGCGATGCTGTGAGACTTTGCATTGCTGGAAGACCTTGCTGGAAAAATACGACGCAGACATCTCCTGCTATCTCAGGAAGCATGCAAGTTGTATCTTGTAACGCAACGACCCTATGCCTCTATAAGTAGTTGCGGGCGTTGATCAACACTAGTTCCTGTGAGGGAAACATTCTCTTTTGCGAATCTTACGCAGCACACAGATCCAATGCCGTGCAAGCTTTGGATATGACATATGCAGAACAGCCACCCCACACACCAAGCTTTGCAAACGCCACAGGCAGAAGCCGAACCCAATACAGATCCCCACAACACCCACCCCATGTGTCGAGCTGAAAGAAACACGCACGCCCATTTGCGCAGTAGATCACAATAACAGCCAGTCTAGATCCGCGCAGCTGGCACCCGCCGTAGCCAGGCAGCCACACTGATGTATCGAGCGTATCCCCACTACAGCCTGGCCTCGCCCACCTAGTTGCGACATGTCTTTGTACACACGCAAAAATCTACACCGGTATCTACACACACAAGGACACATCTGCAGTGAGTCTGTTTCTACAAATGACAACGCCAACGTACGCAAGACATACCTTTCGAAGCTTTGGAAAGTTTTTGCAAACCTGAGCACCCAAAATGACAATTCGCAAGCAGTGTTCCCCTTAAGCTTTTGGAAAACGGAGCTCCCAAAATGTTAAATCGCAAGCAGTGTCCCCCCTAAGTTGTTGGAAAACGGAGCTCCCAAAATGACAAGTCCCCCTTACGTGTTTTTTTTGAAAACCGAACTTCCAAAATGACAAATCGCAAGCAGTGTCCCCCTTAAGCTTTTGGAAAACTGAGCTCCCGCATTTTAAATACTAGTTTAGATCGTTTAGGTGGTTTCGGGCCTTTCTACCCTGTCCCCCTGGCCCCCCCTGGCCCGCCTGGCGCCCCTTTGGTTGGCTTAAATAAGGTTTATTTGGAAGCTAGGGCTCGGGTTTTGCCCATGGCAAAGAGAGGATGGTATTCGTCTTCATCTTTCCTCTCTTTCTTGTCTTCCTTCTCTCTTGTTCGTTTCCCTTTGAAATACAAAACCAAAGGAAGAACAATAAACATGAAAGGAACTCGCTTTCTTTTTCCGCTTGGAACAATGAAAAGAACCGAGGAAACAGGGCGAGAGGAGGGATATGCTGAAGCATGGAGAGGGGCCACGGGCAAGCAGCCGACCCCACTCACTTTCCCGAACCGTTAGAAATGAGTCACTGCTTGTGTTGAGGGGCACGGAGCCGTGACTCATTTCAGGGCTTGAAATGAGTCATGTGCAGGGCCTAAAACTTGAAGTCTCCCAGGAGGAGGGATTTTAAAATCTAGGGACATTGATTTTTCTGGATTGTCAGGATTTTATGGAATTTAAAGAGTTTGAGGGGGCACGGAGCCGTGACTCATTTCAGGCCCTGAAATGAGTCACTGTGTGTGTTGAGCGGGCACGGCCCTGAAATGAGTCACTGCTTTCGTTGAGGGGGCACGGACCCTGAAATGAGTCACTGCTTGCGTTGAGGGGTCACGGAGCCGTGACTCATTTCAGGCCCTGAAATGAATCACTGTTTGTGTTGAGGTCCAAAGAGGCAAATCGCAAGCCCTGGTCCCTAAGATTGTGGGTTGGGTTTTTGCTCCAAAGAATCAGATCGCAAGCCCTGGTCCCGAGATTTTTTTGGCTCCAAAGAGTCAGATCGCAAGCCCTGGTCCCTAAGATTTTGGGCTCAGTTTCTGCTCCAAACAAAGAGTATACAGAGTCAAATCGCAAGCCCTGGTCCCTAAGATTTTGGGTTCAGTTTTTGCTCCAAAGAAGCAAATCGCAAGCCCTGGTCCCTAAGATTGTGGGTTGAATTTTTGCCCCAAAGAGTCAGATCGCAAGCCCTGGTCCCTAAAATTGTGGGTTGATTGTTTTGGAGCAAAAACTGAGCCCAAAATCTCAGGGACCAGGGTTTGCGATCTGACTCTTTGGGGCAAAAACTCAACCCACACTCTTAGGGACCAGGGCTTGCGATTTGCCTCTTTGGAGCCAAAACTGAACCCAAAATCTGAGGGACCAGGGCTTGCGATTTGACTCTTGGAGCAAAAACTGAGCCCAAAATCTCAGGGACCAGGGCTTGCGATCTGACTCTTTGGAGCAAAAAAACAACACAAAATCTTAGGGACTAGGGCTTGCGATTTCACTCTTTGGAGCAAAAACTCAACTCACAATCTTAGGGACCAGGGCTTGCGATTTGACTCTTTGGAGGAGAAAAAAAACAAAAATTGAACCCAAAATCTTAGGGACCATGGCTTTCTTAGGAGCAAAAATTGAACCCAAAAACTTCGGGACCAGGGCTTGCGATCTGAGGTCTTTGGAGCAAAAGAGTTAAATCGCAAGCCCTGGTCCCTCAGATTTTGGGTTCAGTTTTTGCTCCAAAGGGCAAACCGCAAGCCCTGGTCCCTAAGATTGTGGGTTGAATCTTTGCCCCAAAGAGTCAGATCGCAAGCCCCGGCCCCTAAGATTTTGGGAACTGAGCTCCCAAAATGATAAATCGCAAGCAGTGCCCCCCCTTAAGTTTTGGTAGAATGAGCACCCAAAATGACAAATCGCAAGCAGTGTCCCCCTTAAGTTTTTGGAAGACTGAGCACCCAAAATGACAAATCGCAAGCAGTGTCCCCCTGAATTGTTTGGAAAACCGTACTTCCAAAATGACAAATCGCAAGCACTGTCCCCCTTAAGTTTTTTGGAAAACGGAGCGCCCAAAATGACAAATCGCAAGCAGTGTCCCCCTTAAGTTTTTGGAAAACTGAGCTCCCAAAATGACAAATCGCAAGCAGTGTCCCCCTTAAGTGTTTGGGGAGGTTTTGGTTCTAAACATGTTAATTTTGGGTAGTTCCCAAGATTGTCAATCAGCTGAGACGGGGGAGGCCTTGGCAGCCGCATGAGCTGAAACCCCTCAAACCCCAAGACCCTAAGCACGCACTGATTCTGATCAGGACGTGTTTGTACACGAGGGGCCACGTTAACTTTCTAAAGCCCCTAGTAGGCAAGCTACTGGTAGCTTGAACAAGCACATACGCAAACAAAAAATTCGCTGTGCAACTTACACCAGCGCATATAAGGTATGGGCCTTTCATACAACTTTCCCGGGCTGCTCAGCTTCCCTATGCTGGGCACAGCGCTCTACCATGGCCGCCCGCAGTTTGCCAGGCATGGCCGCCTAGGCATAAGCCGTTCAACCAGGTGTCAAATCAGGAAACGCTTGTGCGCTGAACTGTCCGAGGCACACCGCGCATCCAGCTGGAGATGACTGGTCTTGACCTTATGAAGGTAGGTTCGTAAGCACACCCGCTGGCAAGGAGCCATTTATCTAAATTGAGTGCCCAGCGCAACGGTCATTGAACTCACTGACCATGAGGTATCGCCTGATGCACTCGCTGAGTCCAGGCAACATGACTCATTTGTGCACTTGAGCACTCACGCACAAGCATCTAGGGAAACGTATTTCATTAGGGCGCCGACTGCCAATATTGCAATACGATTGAAGTGCAAATTGGAGGATCCCTTGGCGCAGTCTTGCCGAGATTGCCATGACCACGCAGCTGAACCTGACTGGGCTCCCTGCGACCATGCTGCAGCCATGTTGGAAGCTTTCAAGCACTGCAGCCTGAAAGAGATTGGTGGAACTGTGTGAGAATGCCTCAGCAGAAGATGCAGGGCCCGCACAGAGGAGCAAAGAACGCCTTGAATCCTGTTGCGCGTGTCCAGATCTGCGGCTGTATGGTGGCGCATATGTCTGCGAGCACCTACCATGTTGGTGCTCGGGCAAACAAACACTGCGAGCCACCTCTTATCTGACTCCAGGGTGGAAAAAGAGGAGTGCAAGGTGCTGTACGATGGACGGCCTGTTGGGATAGCTGATGATCGAAGGTCAGACCTGCATGACACTGACACTCAGTGGCCAGCAACGCGCAACGCAACATCCTTCAAAGCCAAAGGCCCGGCAGCAGTGTCCCTTGCAGCTCGGTTGCAGGCGAATTTGTGGCAGAGCAATCCAGAACTCTGCCTGTAAAGCGCTGGAATAGATCATGGGATCCGGGTCCTCCCAGGGCGCCCCCCCGCACAAAACTGAAACCCATAAAAAATCATCACAATCATACAGCAGCTTGTGGTCAGAGTTGCACAACCCAACTGCCTATACGAAAGCGTGTCAGCCCGGCCCCATACTTCTACTTTCCACTTACAGGGTCAAGCATTCAGCAAGCCCCGACTTCCACGCAGCACATATGCGTGGAGCGATGTTTTAGGAGTGCACAATGCGCACTGTGTCAGAAGGTGCTCGGCACAAATAATCCCCAAACAAGCGAGCTCGGCCGTTTTTACTGGTCTCGATCCGTGGCGCAGGTATCACCGAAAGTAAGCAGATCCCTGTTGTGGTCAACCATTACCTGTCTGATTTCTCTCTCCCTGGTCGCATCATAGTGGAACCAGTATGCATGTCAGCAAGTAAATGCAAACGACTTCGGTGTCGCGGACCTTTTTGTCTTTCCACTTCATGAACCATCTCCCGCCGCATCCGTGTTCGCCTCTTTGCCACGGCCCCTGGCCGCCCACCTTCCACCATCACGCTTAGCCGGAAACGAAGCCAAACGAGGACAGAACAAAGGAGGTCACAAATCTGAAGCTCCCTCGCGCACGCTTCTCAACCTCCCCATATTTCTGCCTACATCTACCTACAAGAACGGTTCGTTTTCTGGCTTTGTCCTTCCGTTAGGTGCTTGAGTTAATTCGGCAAAACAAAAAACACGATGATACCGCGTTGTCTCCAAGAGACCTGTTCAGCGTTCTGCCCCCCCCCTAGCAACCACAAGACCGCGTTTTGTTTAGTTTCTTGACCCTTGCAGTCGCAAAGTCTCCCAGGCATGCTGCGAACGGAAGTCCACAATTAGGCACCCTGCGGCATTCATGTCGGATACGTATGCTCGGCCTGCAGCAGCCCATCCAACTGTGCTATGATGAGTCTGATCAAGCGAAGCACCTTCCAAGCACTCGCCAATCTCAAGGTATGAATCCTCAGGCTTGATGACAACAATGCAACATTGCCGGCTCGTCTGCAAAAAACCATCACATTGTCACGTCACTGTCGCCAGTCCTCGCGCGCACCAACGACCTTGATGCTGCGACGGAATCCACCAGTCTCGAACGAATGCTGTACTTTGGTGCACCTGGCATGTAGCACACAAGTGGTACATATATATAAATAAAAAAAGAAGCAACACTTGCGCCAACCGAGCGCTGCGCTCAATTGCATAGAATGCCATGACACCGCGGTAAAGCATGGGCCTCGATCACATGACCCAGGCCATCGAGGTTGTGCCAAGCCTTGCGCCCTTGATACTTTGATTAATCTGAGTTCCTGTATGGCGCAGCTTGTATGGGTATAGTTAGTGACGAGTGGCGAGGCATTGTGGCAAAGGGGCGTCGCTTAACCACTTAACCAGCTCAACCATTCAAAGGGTGGTAGATGCGCAAGAAACTCCATCTGAGCAACAGGCTTCTCCAAGAGCAATATTGCATGCCCTGCAGATATGGCGGAGTACGGCGGCTGGCTCAAGATCATCAGTACGTCACCCTCGTCCAGACACGGACACTCCTCAGCAAAAGGAGTTCCTGAAGAACTCCATGCACTTCGATCCTGAAACTGCCCAAGCCCCGCAGCAGCGGCAACACTGAGGCAGGCGCACGAAGATACCTCACACCCTCTAAGAGGTTGTCTTGCATCGCGGCCTGGCAATGCAAAATTCTGGCAAGTAAACCTGTGATTCTGGTTGCAGAAATTCGCCGAGACATGGCCTGGAAGAGCTCATCGAGTTTCTCCTTCGTAGCGTCAAGGAGTGAGGGAAATACATGTTGCATTAAGATATCCAGCAAAGAAGAACAAACTGTTCCTGCGGCACGTGCCACGCTGACTCCCAAACCTGCCAGCGGGCAAACAGCTTCTACAGGAAGAGTATAGCAGCCTGCATGCAATGAGGGGCGAAAACCGACATACTCCGATACGCCGATATGCCGATACGCCGATACGCCGACATGCCGACACGCCGATACGCCAATACACCATTACGCCGGTCTCGTGCACACTCCCCCGCTGCCCCTCACAGGCTGACACGCCAAGATGCCGACACACCGCCGGGCCGCACCCCCTCCTGATACGTGGATACTCCTACTCCTACACCGATACACCGACACGCCGAGACACCGACATGCCGGTGCGCCGAGACGCCGGCACGCCGACATACGCCGGTATACGCCGGTATACGCCAATATGCCGATATACGCCGATAGGCCGATACACCGACACGCCGACACACCGAAACGCCGATACGCCCATCCTCCGACACGGTACGCCGACACGCCGCCACCCCGTAGATGCCGACACGCCGGTGCGCTGGTACGCGGGTTCGCCGGCACGCCGGCACGCCGCCGATGTTCGCGGACAGGCCGACATCCCGATGACTCGATATACCATGATGCCCGTTACCCTGATGTCCTGGCACCCCTCCGCGTGCCTCCCCATGACCCATTGCAGACGCCTTAGCAAAAGAGGCCTAGGATTTTCTAGACCTGCTTTGAAAAAGAATGGATACGCTGATGCCCCGCTCGCCCCGTGCTTCTCCCTTCCCCCCCCCAACAACCCAAGAAGATGTCTTAGCAAAAGAGGCCTAGGCTTTTCTGGGCCTGCTCTGGAAAAGGCCGATATACCGATACCCCGGTCGCCCCGTGTTTCCCCCCTCCCTTATACTGTCAAAGGCGTGTCGGCGTATCGGCGTATCGGCGTATCGGCGTATCGGTGTATCGGTGTATCTGTGCATATGTCGGTGTATCGGTGTATCGGTTTATCGGTGTATCGGCGTATCGGTGTATCGGTGTACCAGTGTATCGGAGTATCGGTGTACCGGTGTACCAGTGGGTCGGTGTATCGGTGTATCGGTGTACCGGTGTATTGGAACGGTGGGTCGGTGTATCGGTGTATCGGTGTATAGGAGCTGCATCGGTCTATCGGTGTATCGGTGTATCGGAGCGGTGGGTCGGTGTATCAGTGTGGCGGCGTATCGGTGTATCGGTGCATCGGAGCCGCGTATCGGTGTATTGGAGCGCTGGGTCGGCGTATCGGTGTATCGGTATCTTATTGTTTTTCTGCCCCCCTGCGCGGTCAGAAGAGTAGCCTGAAGCTTGGACAAGCCAACGAGGGCCCAACAAAAACAACAGACATCACCAAAACCTAAAAGGATTCATATATGGATCTATGATCCATTAGGAACGATTCCAGATGAGCAGTTCCGTGGCAACGTGGGTGCCTCAGGCGCTCGAGCAACTGCGTCGCGCGGCGCATGAGCCTGAACCAGAGTTCTCTCCCTGCACATTTGACGGCCACGTCGACGCTTACCGACACTTGTCAACAGCCAAGCTCCCTGCCATAGTCTGAAGCGGCTCGAGTGCCCTCCGCAACACAAAATGAGTTTGCGGCTGCATGGCAGGCACAGGATCTAAGCAAGCCTGATTGCAACTCGATGCAACTTGGCAATAAATTATCACTTCACAAGGAACAACTGCGCATAGCAACTCCCAAGCGGACAAAGTTTTTGTCAGGCACCGGCCTGTCTTCCACAGGGACGGTCAACGCCTCCCGCACATGGACAGTCTGGGTCCAATGGAGTCAACAGTCGATGGATCGATCCACTAGCAGCAACAAAACGCGCGCCGCCGCAGGCAGGGCTGCAGAGGACCTTCAGCATAGTATCTCTCATACTTCAGGCAAACAAGACTTGCGCGACATGGAGATTACGATGACTTGAAAGCTTCGTAAGGCCTTCGCCGCTCTTCCTCGCATTGCATACAGCATTGACAGCAGCTATTGGCCTGGATGGCTTGGGGTATTGGAAATCACGTTCCACAGCTTCTATCAAGACATCCTCATCAGTACACATTTGTAAATGTTTAATGCTTGACGGTGAGGGCTGGGAATGACAAAGACCAGGAGTACTCATGTGTGAAAGTGACTAAGTGCGCCGGGTACCGGTAATAGTAACCTTAGGGAACATCAGGGGACTGCATGTCATCTAGAGCTCCAGGTGAGGCTCGCCGAGCTCCCCACAAGTGTTTGGGCAGCTCCTGGCAGCGCTTCAGAGCTGTTAGTGTTTCAGCATTGTCTCTGCAGGGCCCCGACTTCGGGCGCATTGGCAACATGCCCTCAGCAGATTGTAAACTCCTGACAACCAAGTCTTTTCAGAGTCAGGTTACACAAAAACAGAACTAGGTAAGAAGCACCTCGAACGGCTGCCATTAACATGGCAGGCCAGACAGAACTAAAGGCCGTTTAGGCCTCAAGGGAGACAGCCACAACTCCTTGATGCTGGTGCACTGCCCGGCTCTCAGAGCAAAAGAGGACGCAACGCATGGCAGCACGATGCAGCACGATGCAGCACGATGCACGTCGAAACTCACCTAGTGGCTGTGATCCATCTCAGAAAATCGTTCGGCACGTGGGAGGGCATTTGGCGGCACTTAGTTGCAATAGCCCTTTTCCTTCTCGCCTGGCTTCTCCATGAACTGCTTCGGTAAAGCTGCTGGCCTCAGAGGTCTCGAATCGGAAAGATGAAAGTCTTCTTCAGATCTCCGGCATCTCCCGTGCCATTTTTCGCCGGCCAACTTTCTCGCAAGAACTGATGCCAGCACTGAAACTTACAAGGTTAAGTGAAGCCAAGGAGACAATCGGCATTGCAGGGAATACCGCGATGTCCTCTATGCCATTGATCACCCTTCTCGCTGAAGCTGCTCTCGTTTGGCTGAATCTGCTCCCAGGGCCCACATTTCTCGCAGGTCCTGATGGACCCACAACCCACTGCATTCTTCACCTGCGCTTTGCAGCCCTAGGCGGTTCTTTGCTGCCTTCGGGCTTTCACGACTTGCAAGCAGCTCAGGCGGTGTTGCAACCGTCGCGTTCGTTCCTGTAGCTTCCGCCGCTCTGGGTTGACTTCCACCTCATGCCAGAAGTCATTTGAGGAAAAATCGACGCTATAGAAATTCGAT